AAATGTGCTGTATGCCCCAACAAGCAAAGGCCCCGTGGGTTTCCCCAGGTACTCCGATTTCCTCCCACAAATAAGACCCATCGCGCGCATCCAACCGGGCCAACAGGAGTGATTGATATAAGTTGAAAAAAAACTTGCTTTGTCATAGAACAGCCAGATGTAGTAACATCAAATAAAAAAATGAGGCGATGACATGGTAGGGGTGATATTTACAGATAATATCCCGTTGTCTTATCCAAATCAGGCATGCTATGAAACTCAAGAAGTTATTGAACTTGTGATTTTTAAGTCGTTTAGCGTTAATAAGTTTAAAGATTTGAAATGAGGGTACTGAAGACACTGCGATCTTTCAGACATATATATATATGTGTGGGTGGGTGGGTGTGGGTGTGTGTGTAAATACGGCAAAAATATGGAGAGAAAAGGTAAAACACAGATCGTAGGCGTGATATTTGGGAAAGCAGCTTACTTGTACGTGTTTGAATGCCATTTTGTCGTGTCTAGATTATGACATTCCAGTTTGTCGTTACTATAAAGGCGGTTCCGCAGTGAAAACAACTGATCCTATCGCATATCATTATCTACATCAATCGTATTTAATTCCACTATGTCCCTTGCGTCGGTACGACAAACTAGACAATAGGAACGCATACAAGACAGACACGCGTATATAACATTTCTTTCAATACATTATCAAAATTCAGTATTGCTTCGCATTTGCTTTGAGATTTTTCACTTGCTTCCTTTAGATATCAAAATCGGACCTTGACACGTGATTGTCAAAAGGTACTGAATTCAATGAAGATTGTCACAATTTTATGGGAAAGACTGACTTGAAACTATTCAAGGTATGAGATGTTGGTAAGTGCGCGTGTTTTTTTGCGCTTTAATGGGTGTATCGTAAGATTAAAAAAACACACACACACACACACAAGCATAAATCATGTATTTTAAAAGCGAGAGCCGTGATATAGATTCACACCGAGCTGTTAGAAGATAAATACAAGTACCCAGCCGTTGCTGATAAATGATTTAGCTCTTAACTGCAAAAGTTGGCCACTTTTCAGTGTATTACCTCGAAATTAGGACTGATTATTCAATCTAATGACAAGACTAAGACTAAATGTAACAGGTGTCAATTCGACATCGGCGAAAAGAGAGAGTGCAGACCTTGTGAACTCGTCGATTACATCAAAGGAAACATCAACATTTTGAAAAGTAGTAACGTTTTCTGTGTAAATAAGGACACATTTTAAACAAATTGTCTTTGCTTATTATGATTTATTTTTAACCAAGTAGGATGTCGTTATTTTACACCCGAAATCAGACTTATAGAATGTTTACAGCGAAATCAGGAGTGCGTATTATCCTTCGTTTGTTTATGCCTTTTTAAATAACCTTTTAAATCCATCAGTTATGTTTGTTAACAAACCACCTGAAGGAAGAGCAGAACTCTGCAACTTATGTCAGATCTGCTATTTAATTTGTCTTCCATTTCCATCCACTATGCGGACTTTTTTTTTACGAAATGAGAAAGAAATTGGTTCTTTTTTAAAAAAAAAAAGGGGGGGGGGGCTTAAGTTTTTACTCGAAATTTCAAATTTTGACATGTAACTTGTTGATGCTGATTAAGTTTTTCTATCCAGCAACCTAATACAAACTATAAATGCAAATGACACGAAATTACATTCTAAACTGGTTCAATACAAAAACCTTTTTTATGCAATAATTTCGCATTGTCCGCCAATTTTTTATTTTCCGCAGTCCCCTCCTAGGTTTGAAAAAGTTAGGTCCTTAACAGCTTTGCAAAGGACTATGTATGATGTAATATATTTTATTATCTGGCACTATTTATCTATACCTATATTTGTATCAAGAGATGTTCCTCTTCTCGTTGACTAATCAATAGTGACTCTCTATAACAACTGGTAAACAAAATGGCTTCTGACGAAATCAAAAATAAAACCATTATAAAAAAGCAATTATCTGTTCAGACGCATTGTCAGTATTAAAAATCAGCGTGTTAGGAACTCGCTCTCCATTACAAAATATTTGTGTTTCGTTTCCATGTATCTTGTTAATACGTCAATTATTTCACATTAGATCCCTGGTCATGTTAAAAATTTATGGAAATAAGAAAGTCGATACATCTGCTAAGGTAGCCCTTGCCCTAAAACCAAACAGAATTAGACTGCATTACCAGCTTTCAAATCACTTATTAGAAATAATTAACTCAGGTGGTATAGCAATTCGTCTCAAACAGTTAATAAGTGAGTACGTGTTATCAGTAGATCATACCACCGAGAGGAAGTTGTCCTCTCTCATGTGGACACACCTACAGCCGTATATCGCACATTTATATTTTTACGAAGAGATTATCTCCCTTTTTCTCACGCATGTGATGAATCTTTCACCGTCAGACAAATTATGATGGAATGCTCCGACTTTGAACAGATCTGTTACTTTTTTGTGCAATACGAAACAATGGGGACATATTAAGGTTTGGTGTTGCGTGTCTGTTCGTCCGTAACAAAGTTTGTCTGCAGACCAAACATCTCTCTTTTCGACAAATCTCTTTTGAGACTAGGAAGGCGTTATAATAAGCGATCATTTATGAGTGCTTGTTGTACTTTACAATGATCTTTTTGCTGAGTTTTCGTCAGATCATAATGGCATGTAGTTTTGCTTCGAATGTTGTTTTAATTTGGCAGATTCGGAAACGGTTAGATAGAAATTTTGATTTTCAAACTTCTATGTTTATTTCCGTAGTTCCACATGGCTTCGGCACGAGATGGTTGTATATATTCATCTCTCCGGTATATCACTCAAATACGTTACATTCCGTCCTGCGTCAACGATTCCACGATGCCCAAGAATACAAGATAAACATTCTATAAAGTTTCTCACAATTTGAAACTTTAATAAAGGTTAAATGTATATTTAGTACCATATTGAATTTTCCAACATAAAGCAGTAATTAAGAACAAGTACGGTAGATATGTTGTGACTGTAAATAACATCAACAACATACAAAATAGAAAAATAGGAAAACATCAACATATTGGTGTTCGAATGAATCAACAATTTAAAAGTAGTCAAAAATGTAGTATAGTTCGTGTTTCCAATGAGACAATTTGGAAAAAAAGGACACACAAGTGAAGAACACCTTTTTAATACAAATTTAGAATTAGATACAGTAGAACCTGATAATGAGTTAAAATGCATCATACTGGTGTTTCGTCCTTCTTGGCTACGGGCCTTACTTTTGAAGTCTAGGAGGCGACTGAGGAAAATCCAAAGTGTTCGACAGAAAAGTCAGATCCTAGATAGGGAGGCTTACTAGCCTCACAATTAAAAAGATTTCATAATATACCTGATCATTTTAGAACAAAGTCAAGTACACATATGTGACATGGACCGTGCCACTATTCGAATGAATTAAATCGTGACGTGCAGATTCCGGCAATTTTCTGTAACCACCACCAGCAGTGTCTATCAACTGCAATTTCGATATTGTACAAAAGACACAAGTGAAGAGCATCTTTAGTTACAAATATCGTGCCCCTGAATGATCCAGTTGTCTGATATATACAACATAGATGAACAAGAATGTTAAAGATAATAATAAATACATAATGCTGATTAACCTAATTTTCTTTCGCGGTTAAACAACAAAATAGATAGCACAAAAATTGATTCACTCTTTGAAATGTGATTTCGTTGTCTCGAGTTTTACCTCAAAACAGTTGAAGACATGAACAGTGATGATTTATCGCCAGACGCGGATCCAGGATTGTGAGTTTGAGGGGACGCTCAATTTTTGTTTACTGTAAAATATTTCTTTGCGTTGTGTCCGACACCTCCTTTTTTCCAAATTTTCTGTGTTTGTAAGTTACCCTTATACATTTTATAATCGTTCTAGTTTCGAGTTCGACAAATAATCATAGATTGTATTATAAGTAAGACGGCGGATTAATCCTCAAAATAACTAAAATATAAAGTACATTAATGCTGTGGTAAATTTGCCAGAATTGACAGTAGTTATAAAAGTCATTTTTTCAAGGTCTCAATCAGGGTGTAGCCTGAAATCTTTTGCGAATACAAATAATTGATGTCCTCAAGTGAGTAATTTGTATGTGTTTTGAAATGTCGTATTACATAAGACCTTTACACTGAAATGTGGTGATGAAATTTCATAATGGCCACTTGGCACATTATAGAGGGGGTTAGCGCCAGGTAGCCCTCTACCCTCCTCATCTCAGCTTGTCATATAATTGACTGCAGCATACTTATTTTAAATGATCATTTGGCTCTGCTGTATCTAGTTCTAAATTGATGAGGGAAAATTGCGTTAACCTTTGTGTATTTAATCGATCTTAAAATAAAAATGTTATTCCAATATAATTTAATCTGTAGATATTGAAAAACGCACGGAATGCTGAAATAAGTTTACATCCTCTGTATATAGGATCTCTGCTTTATATACTTATTTATGTTAAATAACCTCATGTCGGTTTGAGAGTTGTTGAAGCAGTTAGATCAATGGAAAGCGAAAGATAAAATAGTTATGATTTGACATTTTCTACAAACCTCAACGTTTTGTCATCACCTCTACAGATACAGCATAGTGCAGGAGCATAGGCAAACAGCACAGAACTTGAAACATTTCAGGAAATCTGAATGCATTCTTACAAAATTTGAATAAAATATTCCATGTTACCCTTTCTTCTTCACGCGTACATAGCAATATTAATGTTCTCGAAATTCACATACGAAATCCAGCATTTTTGTTCGTTATAGGATCAAAGTTAGCAATATTTTGCTGGTTCATAAAGTATCGGCGATATCATGTGACATGTTTGATTCGTTAATATCGAAAATCATAAACTTGGTTGTTTTGTATCATAAATTCACTCTATTGTCTAAGTTTCCTGAATTATATTGGTGGTATTTCTGCTGTTAATTAATGTTACTGCAGTGTTTTCCGTATTGTAGCTTTATCATTCTGGTTCCACATGAGTTCCCTCACCAGTGTCGTTACTTTTGTAACGTTCGCGAACCTTGTCGTCACTAACAAGTTGTGTTGAATCTGAGATTTCAAAAGGTTTGTTCTTCATAAAACGTTTGTTGACACCATCACCCTACAAAGTAAACACAAAGAGGCAGGAAACTGTGTTATTTCATATCAAAACAAAAACTGATGTTTACATCAGTTAATGTATATAACAATAATAAAGCGCTTTCTTCCATAAATGGTTAAATCTTTCACAATGAAGACCAGTTGTAGTCATTTATTAAACAATACCATATGCTGAATGAATTGTATATGATAAAATATTTGTATCAGTATAGAAAGCGTAAATTTCGTTTGTTGGCCGTAAATGCTCTTCTCCCATGACAGGTTTATCACTAAATGAACACGAGTTATCTCCCTTTTACTGATAATTGTAATACATCATTGCTAAGCCTCAAGGTAATTGAAATCCTCCCTCACCTGCCAACTACCATATACACATACACACACACATATTTTCGTTATTTTCTGCGCTTATTTTGTTTGATATTTTATTTTCCTCTAAATTACTGCTCTTTCCTATATCCCCTTTAGCAGCGCCTAATTTTTGGCCTTAAGTTGAGCGTTAGCAACTTTGAGGAAGGCTTTGGATTCAATCCCATGGCAGAGACAACTAGTCTCAGCTTAATGCCAACATTACGGTCGAGTGACGACACAGTTCTCCCGTTGGCAGTGTAATGTGACATGATGAGATGCCCTGTTTGAGACCTTCGACAGCATACATCAGGAATGTATCACTATAAATTGTGCTTTAATTCCCAATAATCACATGGAGACTTATACGAATATGTTTCTGACTCTCAAAAACACGTGCAGTCAATACGTACGCATGTAACCAGTCCTTAAATGGCCATAGGACATAAACCAATATAAACCATTAAACAATTACCTCACAAGGTATGAAAAAGACAAAACGCTATACAATGTTAGTAAAGATGGGTTATATTCTGAATTACCGATCACCGCTTCAACTGGTGTGGTCCCTGATCGGATATATGTTTTACTTATTCGTCAACCTGTACTACAATTTTGTAACAAATGAGCTAAACCGTCTTGTATTGCTTATTGGGTGGACGGTTCGAGCATGGTGCGATTTTATAATACTGCAGCACATGAATACTTTAATATCCATGAGTGGTACCGAAAACACCATTATATCAGGATTTCTTACATTTAATGTATTTTCAATGGTTGATAGTATGAATATTCTCACACAGGTTTTAACAAAAATAAAAAAACAAAACAAAACAAAAAATAAACCATTCGGAACTTGTAGAAATGGGTTTCTTGATATGTTGCATTAATTGTAAATTCATGTAAAATCAAAAACTCTTACGTTGCGAATGTCCAGTATGTTGAGCAATACCCCACATGACACCGACATGAACGTTACAGCTGCCATCAGCAACAGCGCATTCTGGTACGCGCAAATCTGTTCTTGATGACTTCGGCTTTGCAAAAAAAAGTCATTACACAAAACAATGACATTCAAGGCACTCACTGCTGCAACGTTTGAATAATTCATGCAATGTATATAATATCTAAATGTCAAAAAGTCGCTTCAGGACTTGACTGAAATATTTGCTTGCAGTACAATGTGCATGTACAAATGTGTAGAACATTTGTAAATCGATGTAGCGATATGTAAAGCTATAAAGAGTATATATACATACAAATCTCATATCGTACTTGGTTTTTGTGTTGGATTAAGGCTTTCAATTTCCAAACTATTATAAGAAGGTATTTTTATGAAATAACATCCAACAAATTTCCGACTTTTCCTAAAATCTTTATTATCTCAATGATATCATAGGCGATCAGTCAGACTGCAGGATGAGTTAGTTGCTTAATGAACTAAATATGTTCAAAATGTATTTCTCATTTTCATTTTTGACCTTCGGGATAAACGATTGATTACATCTAAACGTCTAAACAAGAAATTGTTTTTAAAAACTTCAACTTTGAAATCATTTGTTTCTGACCCCTTGTGTTTGGAACAGAATATTCACAATATTGTCCGACCGTTGAATGTCACTACAAACTGCTATCCACTTTTGCTTAGTACTTTTTGAGAATAAGTCGGAAAGTGTTGAGTATTTAAGTACGGAAAATGGCCACAAATTTTTTTTTAAATTAATTAATCAATAAATTATTGTCAATTTTTTTTGTAAATCCCATATGAAACAGACACTTATGTCAGATGTCACATATCTCAAAAAATAGCCAACAGCGTAATATTATACCTAAATATTATCGATTTTCTATTCGCAGTCGTATTAATGAGTGAAATGATGGAAACAAATGAAAATGGTAAGAAATTTTCTCGTTGATGAAAGATACAAATGATGCTCATGAAACACTTACTGATTACGCACATCTTCAACAATGGCGCCAACAGATAAATACATAAGACCTAGGAAAAATCTTGCCATAAACACTGCTATCCCTGCCCCGGTCCCGAACACAGCTGGGGGCAGCATGTCAATGGTCACTTGCCACATAATTATCTGCCAGTAAGAAGGAAATATATTTATAACATAGATTTGTATAGCTAGTCGTACAGCAAAATGAAAAACATTCCTTGTCCTTTCCATATGAAAGTCAATATTGCGGCACACTGTTTTATACTAGTCAAAAACGCTTGTTTAAACATTGATTATAGCCTGCGAGAATGACTAGGCTAATATAACAGATTTTAACATCCTAGTATATAACTATACACAACAATATCCTTCACCCGACAATATAAGAAATCTACACGTAAAACATTAGGAAACTTACCACATCGAATGTATAAACAATGCCGATAGCCACGGTGAGAATGACTGGTGGTATTGATGGACAGTAGGACAGCAATAGATATATTGGTACGCTAAATACTGTGACAAATGTTGCCACCAATCCATTACACTCTATCCTTTTCTATAACAAAACAAAGTTTACATAACATGAAAGCGACGACAGAATTCAGCATATGCTCTCTTTTGATCGCTGACTTTATTCACATGCTTCTTTACAGTCGAACAACAAGGCCTACCTGAAAAAATAGTGTATTGATTTCATCAGAAAATGCTCTTTCTAAGTGAGATTTAATCATCTGACTTCATCATTACTTTTAAAAGAAATAACAAGAAAGACCGGTTATTTTTCCAATTGTCAATAAAGTGGTACGGAGAGAGGTTAAAGGTAAAGCGTCTCATTATCATGTATTTTTGTGGCAGATATGGGACATAAAGTTCGTGAGGATTTTCCTAAATCGCGTTTATTGTTGAATGAACATTAAGACTCAACAACGTGGTTATTAAACACAAATAATGGCGTTAGGGCAAATTGATCACAGCAGTCTTCATAATGACAAGTTTTCTGATGGATAAAGAGAAAAGAAAAAAAACGGACAAGAAAAGAGCCGATAAAATGCGTTTTCTTTCACTGATTCTGCACTTGTCTGACAAGGTAGAACGTTTAACTAGACTCTTAAATCAACTCGTCACTTCTGCATACAATACTTGGTAACTACGTAACGATTAAACGGTAAATTTGTGGATTAACTTACCAGCAATAATGCTATGAAAGGTGCAAGAAACACAGGTACGGCATATGATGTGCCGGTCACATAGGAAGCAATTGCCTTTGTATAGCCATGTCTTAACTGGAGGTAGTGTCTGAAAAATATCAATATCGAAATATCCCGTGGAGCTACCCAAAATTGATACTCTTTACAGGAAAGTGTCAACCCTTGTGAATGAAACATACGAAAATTCACTTTGACGATGTGAAATTAACAACATCTAACTGTTTATTCAACATTGATTTATTGTACAAAGCAGCTAGGTTTATCTGCAAGACTTTGTGAAAATGGACAGATCTGTTGTACAATGCAAATGTTCGTATCACAAATCACGTGTGACGGGCATTTTCTAGTCCTTCTGGACATTTTTAAACACAGGCAACGATTCTGTTATTACCCCACTAAACAACAAAAGAGAGGCATAACATCTAGAACAAGTGTCTTGCTCATAGTATAAGAACAGCAAAACGGTTTATAATCTCGGCTTCCTTAGAAACATAAACTGTAGAAGGAATAGAACTACATTTTGGAATTTCATTTAGTTTTCCAGTCTGATATTCTACCGACAGAGTTATCAAATATTTACTGAATTTATTTTTCATCGTTTGTAATATATCATAGACGTTATTTTTGAATGGTTTTGTAAAATAAAATTTGCATTTGGCAAGTGCAGCGAGAAATAAATTCACCTGATAAATAAAAATGAAGACAGAAATTCATTTGTATTTGTTATTATTATTACAATCTTATCACTACAGTCTTAACTGCCCGTAAACGTATAAAAGGGCATTAGAGCCATCAACTGGTGAAACACACAGCGATCCAAAAAGGAAATAACATCAAACAAACAAAAAGATAAAAGACAAATGATGAAAATCTTAAATGGTTATATTATCACCAAAGAGTAAAATGGTAAGTCATAGTTTATGATACAAACCAACGTTTCAAATAGGTTCTTTAGACTTGTAACGTTACGATAGAAATTTCTCGAGTAGACAGAAGGTCAATGCAGTCCAATAAAAGTGTTTAACGGTGAATGGTACGATTTGCTTTTTCATTGCCTGGTTTTCCAATGTGCCCAGGAACCCAGCAAAAAGCAATACGAAAGTTAAAGGAAAGTTCATGATATAGTAGTAATGCACTACGAATGAAAACATTGAGAATATTGAGGCGTTGTTCGGCATCCATAGGCTTCATCTTGTGAAACCATGGCTGTGGTAACCTTGTCATTATCTTTTGAACCATCAGTATATAAATGCAGAAATGTTTTATATTTTAACTTCAATTTCGAGAAGGATGAACGATAGGTGCAACTATCAGTGACACATGAATAGTTTTACATTGAACATGTTGTAGCCGACATCGGAAAGAGGCAGGACAGAATCTACTGCAGGAATTAAGTGATATTAGGTAAATAAGATAACTTCTTAAATGATTTTTGACTAATAATATTATGATACATTCAAAAGTACTTTATTACTTTATTGAATTTAGGATTAGTTCATCTCCCCACATTTCGATCAATATTGATATTCCTCATTCGCATCCTGTAACATTTTAGGCCCTTACTGACGAACTCTAGAAGGACGATGATCCAGTGTAATGTAGCTAACCCTTAACTTGTATTAAAAGTTGCTACTCTCTTGTGAATCTTTGTACAATCTTACCGTTGTTTATCTCTATATCCGGTTATACTATTCGTCGCGTTAATTCAGTGACAACAGCAGCCGTAACACGGAACATGGAATCATAACGAACAAGAATGAATTGTAAACTGATAAGTATAAAGAACTTCTAGTAATATTGTAATGGGACGGCAATGGCGGGTCAATCTATATGCAGTTGTGATAAAATTTTTAAATTCATGAAAATTACGAAATTTATGGAAATATTGGGCTACTCCACTTCCCCATCTTGATTTTCACTTTTACTTTCGACTACTTTTGAATTTCCTCTCGGTTGACGAAAATAATTTTAAATTTAGGTCCTTAGCAAAACTGACGAGTCCTAGCAAGACGTAACAACGGCAAGGTATGGTTTTTAAATTTGTGTTTAAAGGTGTCATTCACTTTTGTTTCTTTTGTACAAGCTTTTAACACCTCAGTCTGACCCCTATGAAAGCCTTAATGCTGCCGAGTATTGGCATAATGAAGATTTTGAAATTACATGCAAAAATTGAAAATTAAAGATTAATTAATTTTTACAACAATTAACATAAGGTTGATATTCAGGATTCCGATAATTAGTCTGAAAACGTGTATTGTTTATTACACGAATTAATGTGTGGGATGGAGAATAGAAACCATTAAAGAGGCCCGACTGCTGTCAATTAATATTTTGTCTATGTGACCTTCGAATTTTAGCCAGGCTTCAACGAAAATAATTGTTTTATTGCGTATTACCATCGTAAGTCATTAGGACGAGATGCTACTTGCAATATCTTTTAAGGCCTGTTGAGTTGATGCTTTGAGCATTTGATGCGTGTTTTTCTTCATTAAAGGCGTTGTCTCAATACATATAGGACATGTAGGGCTCGAAAATGCTGAACAGCTGAAAAGGTACTGTAAGGTTAGCTCAATTGTACTTGTAACATTGGCACGTACTGCAAAATATCGATACGAGTGAAATGTTTTTTAAAAAATATATTTTATAAAATAGATTGAGGAATAAGCCAATAAGCCTGCTCTATTTATATATATATACTTACGATCCATTTGCAACGAACGAGCCAAATGAACAGGCGTTTAATGAAATCATAGACACGTGGATCCAGAAAGTCTTCGGAATGTTTGTGACGTCAGCCAGTTTCTGAGAAAACGTAATCCAAAATTTGTTATGTATAATGCAAGGTTTTATCGTGAAACTGTCAAAAGTGTGATCGATGAGATTGAGACATTTAAAGAGTGAAGTATGACTTGAATCTTCGAAACATTTTGTGCATTTCAAAATTGCAGGAATGATGAAAATATTTGTGAATGTATTTAGAGGTATTGAGGGCAATGTACAGTTGTATATTTCGTTTGAATTTCTCGATGAAATTTATTATAGGAAATGCAAAAGTAAAAGCGTCAAAAATAAATAGGTGACTGAACATGGGATCGTGAAGTTTTTGGGAATGGTGCAGAATAAACGCATGTGCTTTACATTCCTTTGAAAGAATTCAATCAAAATTCTGAAATTTATTGATTTAGAGGTTAATGCACTTCCTCATCTAATTCAAAATCTGTATTGGAATGCGTTATTCTTTTGTACACACTCCACAAACCACGACATTATATGTTTGCGTAGTATAGAAAGGAAGCATAAGGACGTGTTAGTTCATTGTAATGTCCGGATTATGACGATTTTGTGTGATGGTACTCTAAAAGTTCAAACATGGTCAGTAGCTTCAAAAATAAACCAAAAACCGTTTTTGAGATTGACTCCAATTAATGTATAAATTATGCATTTTTATCATAATTTTGTGATAGCGATTTAAAACTCTATATCATCTTCTAAGTAATTTGTTATTCCTGTTAACTTACAAAAGGCTTGCTAGCCATCCGATTTTGAGACAGGACATCCAGTTTTTTAGTCCCATAAAAATCCAAAAATGCCATAACAAATGCAATTAGGATACCGAATGAACACATAATTGTCCCTGCAATAGAAATGGTAATGACATCATCAAAAGTTTACTAAGATGAATTTGAGATGGCTCATAACCTATACACTCTGTGAATATTAACTATGTGATAGGCTGCGCGGTGTATCGATCTCTTAAAGGAGATTAGATTATTATTGGATAAGTGTACCAGCCAGTTTACATAGAACATTGACAAAGAATATTAAAATGTTTTTAATATAAAACTGCCCAATACATACTCTTGACGCTACACTCAGTTTCGGTCTTTGGGCATCAAATCCAGTGTCAATATATTACTGCTAAGATTGTAATGGGTATGACATTTCAGTGATAGCACTATGATAATTATTGATCGAATGTAAAACAATACAAAGCAAAACCAACCCTTTGATGTGATCCGGCTTTTGCAAGAGGTGAAACAAAAACCAATTGAACATTGAATATAGATTTTGCGAAATAGATATATGGTAACCAACAACAAAAACCCAATAATGAGTACTACATTGTTCTTATTCTATATTTATGTACTAAGCCAGCGTCATTTGTTTGAATAGTAGCAGTATGCGCTTTGTTTACTTTCAATTTATGTAAGAAAGTCGTGTAGGTTATTTACTAAATGTGTTATAGTACACAATGACACTGATTAGCTGGCGATTTAAAAATTGAAAAAAATTGAAAAAAAAAATCTGAAATCACACATAATTAAAATTATAACCTCAAGAACACTCCAGTAGTATTTATATAAAAAATGTTGGCGTTGATAAAATGTTCAAAAGTATAAAAGGGAACACATTTCTAAATAAGTCACAAAACATGCATTTCTTGTGTTTCACTGTCTTTGTACAACACTCACCAAACCAGACTGACCAGGTGAACCCGAATTTTGCGGCCAGGTTAGCAGTCGTGATGAAGTTCAGCAGTGTTCCACCCCTACGTGTTGATGTGATCAAACTGACCGCCAAGAAGGAATCTCCGGCAAACCAATGGGCTATAACTCGATCTTGCACAACTTCAGAGTAAAATTATTTATAAATAGGTACACATCATATCAATCAGAAAGGGATCCAACGTTTAATATGATATATATATTAGCTTATTGCAAAACAAAATGTGGTATGTTCGAACAAAGTTGAAGATGATTTCCTTGTTATGCCTTTTACAATCTTTCAGTGATGCCTCCCTGCAAATACAGTATAAAAACTTCTCTGATACCCCATTTGTGCCATCGTAAAATCAATCAAGGATCTATCTTTCTTTATCCTCCTCATCAAGCTTTCCCTGTCGAATACGTTTTGGCAATACGTCGCTTTTGGCATAAGATCTTGAGCTTGCGTGCGAGAGATCATGTTTCTGCTTTGTGATAAAACCGGTATATGGTTTCCCTTCTCTACAACTGCTAATGCCTAGGACACTTATATAGTGTCATTTCAGTTATCAGTATGAATTGACCGGATCAATGATGTATATACTATACTACAAGCGTTGTGTATATTTTATTATATTTCAGAACGAACAGTATAAAAGAGTCCTTTGATTGCCCCATCATCTACTGGTATCAAATCTTTATGACCCATGTTAATTCGAGGTCGCTAAATAAAAACCTTATGCCAGCGCGCTTCTAACAAACTTACATTTATAGGCACCAGTTGCGCATTTGTTTATTTTGACCCTTGTAACTTAATACAACTTACTTCTCATAGGTCCATTTCCAAACCCAAGTAGCATTCTTCCTATTACCATTACTGGGAACATTGCTGAGGTGTGCCGCAGAAGACTAGACCCAGCAATAGCAAATAGGTTAGCTCCGAGTGATGTCAAAAACATTATTGATACAGCAGATACTATCAAAACAGAATGAAAATAATACATATGCATAAAGAATCACCTTAACTTGCATTTGGTAATGATTTTGGAATTATTGATATCAAAATCAATGACATTTTTGTGCACTCAATGTTCGCAGTTTGCATCGGTATACATGAAAGATAGTTGAGTATTTAAATCTAAGTAAGTGACAATTTATTTAACTTGTTAATTTTCAGAACTACAACGAAAGGAATTAGAAATGAATTTTTAGGCAGTGTGTGTTGACTAAATGGAAATAAGATTAACAATATTTGTAAATACCTCTGTTTCCTAATCTGTCTATAACGTATCCTGAAAGGGGAGATGCTATGGAAGATCTGAAAACGGTGGAGTGTTAACATTCATTTCAATTATGGAGTACGTGGATAGGTCTTCATTTTCTGAACATTCTTTTCATCAGTCATTTAAATTAATGTTTTCATGCAAAATTCATATCTACACATCAATAGCATACTTTTCCAAACATTGAACCAAAATGTTGCAGTAGTTATATATGATAAGTATTTGAGTCAAAGCAATTTTATTTTTTCATTATTATATGAGAGTCATACATAAGAAAAAAGGGCGTTTAACAATCCGATCCAGTAAAACGATCACATGATCTGTTGAACTACTGTATATGTCATTTATATGATTTGCTTTCTTACCTGAACAAAACAAGCCAAGATCATAGGGGTTTGGCAACAATTTTTGTGTATATAAACGGCCAAGTTACGAAATATAAAACCAGCATTATGACTCTCACGTTGTGGAGTAACGCGTTCGTGAATGTAACAAGATTTCTTTGAAGAAAAATAATTCTTTCATTTTCCTTGAATTACATAATTATGTTTATCTCGAAAAGAACAACAAGCACTGTGGTGACGATTCACACAAAGCCGTACTACAACGGTGACTTTGAAATCAGAACAGATTAGAATTAGTATCAATTAAGACAGAATTCCCCAACTTCAGATTTCGTTCACTACTTTTTTAAACCCACACACCATTTATATGAATATATGTGCCAATGTTTTCAAATATATTTCGTCCCAGCAAAGTTTGAAAAAAGATTAAACGGAAAGGTTTCAAAAGTTGCTGAGGTTTTGTTGATATACATACGTCCAGAAGAGAAAAGTGAAAAGTAAGTTGTAGCGACTCGACCCAAGGCCAAGACATGTTTCACAACATGCAGCGGATATTATGCTTTCGTTGACCTGGCAATGCATTTCCTGAAATCATAATTTCCATTTAATAATATCTTATGTAAATACTGCTTTAAAATGGATAGTTTTATTAATTCATTTGTTGTTTTCACAATTCAATTCATTTACAATTTCGCAAAACTAAGGAACCACAATATGACACAATGCTTTTACGATATAAAAAGAGTTCTATGTCTATCCATCCTTACTGAGAAGAATAATCATGGAATTGCAAACAGGCAAACACTTCACGAAAGACACTATTTATTGGAATACTCAACCTCTGTAAATCCTGAATAAGAATGGTTGACCTTCATATCGTCTATAATTTTAATTTCTGTTTCAGATATCAGTACTTTATAACATGAAGATTCAGAACATTTTTTTTCATCTCACTTCATATTCCTGAAAGGACATTTCTAATTGGTGTACATGGCGTATGATGTATATCAGATAGCTAAGTAACGATACACAGTTCCAGTACTTCTGACGTGGGCAATATTTGCTAATCGATCTTTGGTCGCTTTACCAATAACTAGTATTACGATTATTAACAAATATACTGCATATGTGATTTGCACATGCGTAAGGAAATGGTATAGTGTTTCTGTTCAACTTTTTATTATCTTTTTCTACTGTTTACCGCCATCGAAAGTATTTATATAATCTTACCTCTTTTAATCCTTTTAACTTATCAATATTTGTCAATAACATTTGTTGAAGTGAAAAAATAAAATCGGTACTTACATAGCCAGACACAAAATCCACTTGTAAGGAGCTCGGCAGGTCAATAAAGTAATACACCCCGAACACGACAATACAGTCACAGAATAAAATGGCATAACGCCATTTCCCTGCAGGATTTAATTCAAATTTTTAAAAATCATACATTCAACTAAGTCAAAATTTGATCGGTTAATCATTAAATACAGTTTATATAGACCTTCATATCATGTTATGATTCCTGTCCCAACACCGTCACTTTCAAATGACACGTGTATAGACATTAATTCATCCTCCTTCATGCGGGGCACTGAATAGTATAGACGAGATATGATATATGTAAACCAGATGTTCTGGAAGGATATGCGTTTTCTGCTTCGTTGGCGATACAACCATTGTAAATCTAAGTAAGTAATGGCACGTTCTCGAATGAAACCAAGGTTAACATCATAGAAAAAAATCTATATTTGTAACTTTATATCGCATAAGAGGTGAGATGGCACTTGAGGCTGCCAAAAATGGCGTATGCATTTTACCGGCGTTTACCTCTTTAATCATGATATTTGTTAATCTGGATCTCAAAATTGTTGTCGTAGATATAACAAATAAACTAGCTTCGTATTTAACGATAATTAATGTACTTTCAAATAGTGCAACAATGAACTATTCATTATCTTTATCATATTAACAATGAAGACACTTAAAGAAGAAAAAACGAATCAAAGCTAAGACGTAAGAACAGAAAAGTTCCTCATTGATAAAAATGAGGCAGCAAATGTATTAACGCTTCTGCAAAAGCTATTGTGAAGAAGAATTATTATACATTTCGACCGCGGACCTACTATAATACACAAACGATTCTACTAATTGTGCATAATCATGGAAGGAATTTGGCAAATGCAATCATCATAAATAAACGTACAATTTGTTAGCGAAAGATCAAATAACTCAGGCGCATAATAGGTAGCTAAATAATCCATCGTAAACCTTTTCTTTATGCCATCTACTTTGTAAACAAATATTACTTACATTCCTGAGGTTTCATGGTGTAGGACTGGATGAGAAGACTCCAGAACTGGCTGGTATTGATTGATAGTCTATTTCAGCTTTATCCTTTCGTATGCCTGAAAAGAACCGATCCGTTGTAAAGGGAACCCTGGTGGTGTGGTGAAATTTACATTTAATATAGATAAATTTCCGAACATCACTCGAAATATCAAGGTTATATGAAAATTTGTTTTATGATAAATAGTTAATGTTGGGAATATCATATTGAAATTTTGTCACGTATAATGACATTGGCTAGATTGGTCAATGTATTTTTACATCTCGCCGCCAGATGTTACATTCCAATTTGGCTTTAGTAGGATTGATCCGAGATCAAATCGCTGACATACCCAAGATTGACAAAAAAGCCGTATGATATATTTTTGAATCATTGACTGGCTCTACTGTATATAATTATAGAATCGTAAAAAAAGGTCTATTGTAAAATCTTTGAGATTGCCGGTATAAGACACCGTCGGTAGTAATTCACCTCACGTTACCTTGACCTACTTGTTACGCTTTAATTCATTCGAACATTGGAACGGTTCAGAAAATAGGACTTTTTTTCTTAGGTATGAGGATAGTGTACTTTCCCATTTGGAATTTGACATATCTTTTGCCCACTTTCTGTTTTCCTCAATCGCCTCCTAGATTTCAAAATTTAGGCACATAGCTTCAATGACGAGTCTTGAAAGAACGAAAAAGATGTATAATGTATTTTAAGTGATGGTTTGGCTCTACTGCAACGGAATCATAATTTGTATAAATGTGTTACTTTTGTGCAACATTCTTGCATTATTTTGCTCTACTGCACATACGTCAAACCACCACCCAAATTAATGCAAAACCAGTCGACCCCGCACACGTTCCGTTTTGTTTAAATTATTATTTTAACAGGTTATTCAAACAAACAAACAACCATTTAACACATGTAGTTAATTAAAAACACGAAAGCTAAACAGTACCGCAAATTATAAACTTCATTTAGTTTTGATATCGTCTGTCCTAATAGGTTCGTTTGGATACAGTCATCTCTGGTTACCCGTTTTCCAACTACTTCATGTATTACGGTAGAAATTTATCGCTTTGATCGTTTCCGAGAACATACATTGAGGTATGAAAAAAATAAGTTATTTTCTTTACGATTTGGTCATCAGTTTGATTATGAGTTTTTGTTAATTATCATATATCCGCGTGTAGAAAGGCGTGACACAATATTGTATGTTATGAGGTAACAATGTATAGGGACACTTTTATGACATTTGCCATCACAAAAATCAAAATGAAAAAAATCGATATCAAAGTAACAATTAACTTTAGTTATTCAAGAGAGAATGAAAAACATTTTATTTTACACTGCCTGAAGACGAATGTTGCTACCTCACTGAAAAGAATACAGGTGATCCGTCGAATGTCATTAAGAGTTATTTTGGATGGAATGCCTTGAAAGACACAACACGACAGCACCTGTTATCCGTTTCCCAGCTTCCAACGAAGGAAAACCCGCTATGGGTAAGTAGCGTCGAAGCACATGAATTGGATCGTCTTATGAGATTACGAACATGTTTAGACTAAAACTCGATTGTAGACTGAGATATTGCGCCCAAGAAAAAGAACGTAAGGACATTAAAGTTCTGCAATAATAACCTTCCATCATTGATTATTCGAATATTTGTAAACATGTATCCCTGATAGTGTTAAGTAAGCCTTGTTATAAACAACAAACATACTCCTGTCAACAAATAGGTAGTTTTTTTAACTTGTGTCCAATTGTCTGAAAATAACTTTAAAATAAAAAACAAACAAACAACGTTAGTAGTTTTGATGTTTGGAAGATCGCCCGATGTCCCAGCGGCAGATTTCATTATAGACGGACATTGCTGTCTTTGGATCGAACACCGGGCCTTGTCGAAAGCTGTCCATCAGTTGATCAAGTGTCGAAATATCTTATTAAAATGATTCTAAATGAAAGAGTTGTTCAACACTTACAACACCTTCACTACTCCTTTTACTTTACACAAATAATAAATAAAAGGTTAGACATGCTTCTTACCTTCTATTTGGTTGCCTTTCACTTTCCCCATTTAATATCCTTGTTCGTGTGAAGACTGCAAACAATATACTGTAGACACAGTGCGAAAGATTAAAAAAAAGTAAAACCCGATATTGTGCAGATTCGACTGTTTTACATGAATTATACATATGTGTGCTGATATTATCTACAACATTAAAGTTGTAATGACTATTTGACGGAAACTTGCTGGGGTGTTTATTTCGCTTTGTGATGTCCACATGTACCTATTACAGAGACTTTGGAACGTGCGTTAATGGTTGTTCATTTACAATGACAACATGATAATTCTTCTGGATATCTGATCATGAAATATCCTTTAACATCTCAAATAACGTGTTCTATGATATGTATACTACCGAAACATTATGCACTTAAATCACTTCAATGAAATGTTTTAAAAAGGTAAATAGAAATGCAAATGTAATATTTGAAAGATATTTCAGATGTAGATTATCGGTTTCATATAAAAGTTCAGAGCCACTGTACCGTAATAATCACAGTAAACGCTGTGTATGGCTTGACAGGCCAATGATACGGTTGATATATTAAAATTAACATGCAATTAGTAATATTTTCTCATCGATAAATATAAGCTTCCATTTTGCGATATTGAGATGCTCCTGACAAATTCTAGGTCTAGATTATAGTTTTGCGGAATCAGAAATGACTTATCTATCCAAAGACTCTCTTCATGTTCTTTGTAGATTTTGAAGGATATCCCATGTAAATATTCTCTGGTATACTTCTTTCAGTGCCTTCTTTAATTATATGTTTTTAATGTGTCTCCTTATTTTGATAGATAATATCATATGGAGATAACGAAAGTATCTCTCTGACCCATTTGTTGTATAGCTTAAATTTGCATGTGGTGGTTCTTGAGATTTTGGACTTTTCTACATCATCCGCTTATCTCATTTATTTACTACAACTAAATCAACATGGACAAATTTCCATTAAACCTGTATGATAATAGTGATGATTTTAATTTACCTATAGAGAATTTTCAATTCTTGATAGCATTATCCCATATCACTAACGTGTGATGATTACATGTCGCAGCTGAATTATTGTTCGAAGACTATTCCCAACAATCAGGATTTCGTGAAAGAAGTCGTCAACTGTCGTGTAAACTCGTAACACATGTTTTCAAAATTTGAAGGTTGATGAAAATTTAGACGTTTTACGGTCGTTATAGTGATGTCAATGAGAAAAATCCTATTTCTTTATGCGATGTGAAGCTCGACATATTTAATACTCTTTAGTTTTCTTGATGGTTCCATTATTATGTTACTTTGTTCTCATTTGAGAACCTTACATTACTTACTTGAATTTATTTACCTGGTCGATTATGTTGACATGTTGGTATTTTCTTCTTTGTGTCTCGATCATACTTCTCTGGTTCTTCGGTTAGTTTTTTTTTTTGCCTTTTCCATGCATTAGGGTTCTTACACTTAGATAGTAAAGAAAATCTCAAATACTTTCATGGCTGAAACAGATTTTTCTGTAGCCTTCTTTTTCATCCTTTAGTAGTTATAATAAAACTTAAACTGTAATCGAAAATTCTAAAACACGAAGTGACTAATTTGGGACTCTGCAACTTCAGAATGTTTTTATAAAACTATTATTTTGAAGATATTGGTGACTTATACCACATTGTAAAATATTTAAACAGTAAAAGGGTGTCGTGCATTAAAATCACACGTCACACAGTCGTTTTAGTTGTATACACCGATGTCAATTTTGCTATTTTCTTCATCGTTAGCCATGCAATAAGAATTTCGATATCTTAAATCTGATTATTATGCCATTGAAAACACGGGTAATAAATCAAAAGAACAAGGGATATTATTCTTCAGATTGTAACGAAGAAATAAGAAACAAGAAACAAAGATTTTTCATCATTTAATCGTCGTATTACAAGTGATTTTTTCAATAATCTCAAAAAAGTTTTGTTTTCGTTTTAAATTTTAAGTAAGGAATTTAAGGCTGATTTCCAAGCAATTCTTAATTTTGAAGCAATAATTCAAAACGAAATATTATTGTAGTTGTTCCCTGAGTAATTATTTTCTCTTTAAAATCCCACCTGATGTCTTTCTTGCTCAGTAGAACTTATACTTATGAAGAATTTCTTTTCTTTTCCTGTTTCAGTGCTCTTAAATTAAAAAAAAATAGTATACATGTAAAATCGTTCTAAATGTTTTCGGAGTATTTGAATAAATATTGACCTATGTAATGTTTGATAGTCAATCTTCCTTGAAAGTCCGATCTCCAAAGTCATTACTCGTGTATTGCTTATTCAGTTTGTCAGCATAGACGAGTTCCGTCGTATCATTCATTTCCACAGCTTTGATCTTGATAAAACGTTTGTTTACACCGTCACCCTATAAACAAAACAATTGAAAATTTACTCATTAATACAAACAGTGTGCCAAATTGCTCTATTATTCTTAACGTCATTTTAAGATATTACGTTACTTTTTATCAAAAATCATTTCCGGACACTGAACTGTTTTCTTGCTTGGTATTAATTCAGTAACACAAATTCATGAATGAAAATTTTCAGTGGAAGATCGAAAATAAATAGAATTAGGTACAGCAGTGCCACGTAATAAATGCAGCTGTACCATACAAGTATCTCGTCCTTCCGAAACAGTAAGTGATGTTAAGGGCCTAAAATGTTGGAATAAATGTTACAAACCAAATGGGGATGTGCACTTATCCCATTATTCAATTCCTTCATATGTTTTTTTAAACATTAAATTATTTCGAAAGAATGGCAAGTACGGTGAATTTCAAACCGTGTCATTATTTCCTGTTTCCTGTTAGACATGTCCTAACACCATAATGCTTGGATATGGATCAATAGAAATAAAACAAAGATCATCCCCTCGTATGTTTGCTTCATATTGACTTACATTTCTTATGTCCAGGAAATTGAGTAAGACTCCACTGGCTACTGACAAAACGGATACAGCTGTCATCAGCAAAAGTGCATTCTGGTAAGCAAGGATTTGTTCATGGCGACCAGTTCTGTGGGATTAAACGATAAAAGTCACAATAGAATTGGTAGTCTCTACCAGTACATAAACTCAAAAAAGATTGTACACAACAAATGTATAAGTGAATAGGGCCTTTCAATCATATATTGTATTAGATAAAGATAAAGTTTTTTTCGCCCTTCTTGATTTCTTTAGTTATCCCGAAGTATTGAAATCTAGAAGGCGTCTTTGGCAATTCAGACAGATACGCTATTTGGAGGGGGAGAGGGATGGGTACCAAGTAATCCTGAATGGTAATTGTTCTTATATAATCAGAGGAAAAAAAGTACAAATATGCGACTGAAAATAGAATAAAAAGGTAATATCAGCAAAGATACGTAAATAAGTTAACTTAATAAATCAGTCTTGTTGTTTTAAAAGGTAGATGAAGTGTCAATAATTCGTAACTCAGTGGATGCACCTTGTTGTCAACTTGTACTTAATAGTGATAAGCATCTCATTTGTTAGAAATGGTTCGTTCTGTCGGAAAACCAAATTGTCCATGTTTCAGTGGCAATATATTGCCTTCCTATTGCTTTTAACTTCCACGGTTTCTCTTTTAAACTGTAAAACGCAGATCAATAAAAGAAAACTTACTCCTGATTATCTTCTACAATGAAGCCTACTGATAGATTCATTAGGCCTATTGAAAACCTCATCACAAACACGGCAATACCAGCTCCAGTCCCAAACACGGCGGGCGGTAACAAGTTGATTGTCACCTGCCACATTATTACCTGTTAAAACGCAGTGAGAATATAAACACAGGGATTAATGTACAAACTGTAGCAGTTTATTTTTCAAAGTTAATCATCAAAGTCATAAGATCCATAGTTATTCATTGTATCACAATGACTATACCAGGGCGAAAAATCTACATAATTTAGCTATCGTAATAAAAAATTATTTAGATCCCAACAGTCCCAAACTTACCACATCGAATGTATAAACAACGCCGATAGCCACTGTGAGAATGACTGGTGGTATTGTTGGACAGTAGGACAACAATAGATATATTGGTACGCTAAATACTGTGGCGATTGTTGCCACCAATCCATTACACTCTATCCTTTTCTACAAGACAAAAATGGACGTTTCAATTTCATGTTATAAAGTTACAAGCTAATTAATTGAATGAAACTAATTACATTGAACTTGAAAGAATCCATACAAAATTAAAATTCACATGGACGTCCTCGTCCATGTTACCGAGACCTGGTAACATGTACGAAACATTTTAATGAAAAAAAAAATAATTTCCAGTAAATTTTAGTGAATTTGGCCGGTTTTGCTTCCCGACACAAAAGATTGACAGTAAGTATGAGGAAGGAAGGATTTATGATAATTTTCATTTGAGTGATCTTAATTAAGCATTATATAGATTTTATAGTCTCATCTCCCACTGCTCCATTCAATAAAACTGATATCTTCAATAACCTATGAGACGACGCGACAAGCAAATTGATGATTTTTTACTGATATAATTAGTAGAGTAAAACTCTGGATAGATTAATGAGTTTGTCATCATATGATCTATATATGAAAACTATAAGATATATTGAACCAAAAGGCTAGTGCCCCTTCCTTTTTTGATGTTTATTTCGATCACTTCTTATTTTCCGATTTCGCCTCTTAGACTCAACATTTATAGTCTTAGCACCACTGACTCTGCGTTTAAGAGACCGTATCTGAAAAAGGTCCACATGTGTTTATTTTGTAAATCATGAACTTTTCTATTAAAGGTTATTTGACATATTTCTAATATATTCATTTAAAATGCAAGAGAAAAGTACTATTTCCCCGAATCTGTGAAAGATTGCCTTACTAATAGCAATGCCACGAGTGGGGCGAAAAATACGGGTCCAATGTAGGCTGCGCCGGTCACATAGGAAGCCATGACTTTGGTATAGCCATGTCTTAACTGGATATATTGCCTGAAAATACAACATTACAAGCGATCAAAGTAGTTACAACTATTAACATTACAATTACACTCACTAATATTCTGTTTGGAAGCAAGGACTCATATTTTTTACAAATATTCGACATAATTAGTATCACATCAGTATCTGATTTGAGCGCCACAGTGAACGTCTTTAAATCTAGGCTAAACTAGGATAAAGTTCAACATGGACTGTAATTAGGAGCTTCTAAAACAACTTGCTTACGTAGACCAAAGATCAGGTGAATAAAAATCAAATGTTGGATTGAAAATGTGTACAGAGCAAAAAACAACTGGCGTGTTACATGTGTCGTTTTTATAAAGTGTTTGATGTACATTATGCATTACTTTTGTAAAATTAAGTGGCTACTGAATGTATTTCATCACAAATGGAAACCATGTCAACACCTGACGTCATACGTTCAAAGTGTTTGTTAAATTGAGATATATCATTATCAATACAGTAGTTCTCATTCAGATATGATTTATTTTTAATAAATTGAAAGAATGCAAATTAATATTAGTAAACAAACGAAACATCACGCTTGCCACAATCGCCTTTATAATAAAACTTTACTCAAAGTGGCATAAGGTCTAAATAGTAAATAGATCGTATATGCATGAGGAGCAACGTTATGCCCTAACTTCATTAACACTTTTAAGCTTTCGATGTTTCAGCACAATTAAAGTTCGAGAGTTTGAAAAAAGACAAAAATCATGATAGCACATACAAAATTTCGAAAGAAGTAGCAATCCGTTTTAAATGAGGGTTTGTTCTAGTGGTCTAACAAATCAGATACAGATATAACTCGTGAATATCATACTTACGACGCATTGGCCACAAACGAAAAGAATGAACAGTAGTGAAATCCGATCATAGAAACGTGAATCCAAAAGGTCTTTGGTATATTGGTGATGTCGGAAATTTTCTGAAATCCATGAAATGCGATATTATCATGTCACTATGTTAGAAAAGTTTAATTCTCTGTGAAACAAAAACTTCCATCGGCCAATTTTCACCCGACGTTTTTATAAAAATATGTAATTTTGATACATCATGATTGGTCATTGAGGCAGATTAAGAAATCATCAAAGAAAATTAAATTAAATTACAGGGATCAATTATGATTTTTTTTATGTTATTGACCCATAACACTGAAAATCGAACTGTTAATCCTTACGTAAGATTTGCTCATATCCCCTTTAAAAGTAAAACATATTGAAAGAATCGAAAACATATAGGTAATACTGTTAATAACTGACCATCATAAATTCCTTTCTTTTTTGTAAATAAAATGGAACTCCATTGGATATATAGTAAGCACAACAGATCGGGAAATGTAGTTACTGCTCGTTACTCTGTACTTACAATAGGCCTGCTCGCCATTTGTTTTTGGGACTCGGCGTCAAGTTTGTTGGTCCCGCGAACGTCGAGATAGGCCATTACAAACGCGGCTAAGATACCGAGGGAACATATAAAAGCTCCTACAATAAAGGTAATACTGAGGATGCATTCTTTTATTAAATGTCAGTGAATATATCTTTATATACAATTATTTATCTAATTATCACTCCCACGTTATAACCTAAAAATACCATATACTCAATATATACAGAGATGACATTGTCAATGTTTCATGAAACAAAAGCGACAATGAAGAAAGACAAAAGACGAGCCTAGTTTCCGATGCCACTACTCAACTTTTTATTTTAAGATACTGACCATGTTTTCTGTCGATTCTGAAAGAATTATTGGAATTTCAAACCATCGAAATATCAACAATTTGCTGTTTAATCTGTGTTTATCTCGCGTTGACGTTACGCTAAATTCTGTCCAATGACTTAAGCCAAAAAACTTTAACTTTCGTAAATAAACTTCTCTTTTACGACATACCTCATTGCTTATTTAAATAACTATTTTATGGTTTTAAACGCAACATGAGTAAATTCAGAAAGTAGTTACAATACACAAGCTAAATACAGCCGTTTACTGTCACTTCCAAATAAAAGTTTTCTGACAATTGCAACGCCAATTGTATAATAAAATTAAATAATATCTCACTTGTAGAAATGAAAATTTCAATAGCATATTAGTTCTGTTTGTCAATGCGGGTTAATATGTATAAATGGCAAAGACAAAGTGAAAGAAAATACAAATCAAAACGAAAAAGACAGGAATTTCAACAATACATGAGTCACTTACCAAGCCAGAGAGCCCAAACAAAACCTAAATGGACAGCTATGTTTGCGGTCACCATGAAGTTAAGTAGTGTTCCGCCTCGTCGTGTTAGAATTACTAAACTAACCGCCAGAACAGAATCCTCGGCAAACCAGTGAGCTACCACCCGATCTTGTACAACTGCAAAGGAACATCACTTTCTAATGTATCCATCTGATATGATATATTGGAAAAGTTTGGTATCATATATACTAGAAATATGAATGGATGGAAATAATACACATACTTCTCATTGGTCCATCCCCGAATCCAAGCAACATTCTTCCAATTATCATTAACGGGAACATTGCCGAAGTGTTCCGAATGAGTTTAGTTCCAGCAATAGCAAATAGATTAGATCCGAGGGAAGTTAGTATGATGATTAACACAGCCGATGCTAAAAGATGATAAAAATATAAAACAAAAACAAGATCATTAAAAATTTGGACAAACTTTTACAACATTTATTTAAATTCACTTGATTATAACACATCATAACAAAGTCATAGATAAATATCGTTATAGATGACACATTTCAAACAAATTTTTAAAAATTAGCACAAATTATAAATATTTCACGAGATCTTTATATTTTAATATGACTGTACGTATATTTTGGTTAAATTCATCTGTATATAAGTATGCTATACTTTTAAACTTGCCAGCGTATCAATGATAGTCCGACATAAAAAAAACGCTAAAAAAACGTCATATAGCTGACAAACTTACTTCTGTTTCCCATCCTGTCGATAACATATCCCGACAGGAGAGATAATACTGACGAGCTACAAAGAAAATTGACCAGTGTATGTAAGAGCAACGAAATTTTGATAAATAAACTGGTATATGGTTTGTGACAAAAGATGTTCGTCAGTATTCCATTATTTACAAACAAAACAGAAATAGACCCGATAACTATATTGTTTCATTGCAGCCTTTGTTAAGATCACAGAGGGTTCAAGAAACCATGCACTACTTGTTTGTTTAATGTCAATGTACTTCGTTCTCTTGGTATATATGAGCTTTCTTTTCAAAGAAAGGTGGACAATGTTACCAATGTATGGTTGTGAGTTATACTGCAACTATTGATGATGTTTTCTCTTCGGATTACAAGAAATTTATGATTTATGTCCATCGCATATTCCCACATGAATTGGAAATAAAGTACATTATGCTGTATGATAAGCATGATGATTTCAATTTTCCTATTGAAAGTATTCCAGTTCTGGATAGCAACATCCCGCCGTCCCCATCTATGGTGTTTACTTGTTGCAATCGATTCGATGTTCAATGGCTTGATCCCAATCTCAATATTTTCGAGAGATTTATGTTGATGAAAATGATGGGAACATTTTAAAGTTAAAATGATTCCTCGTTTGGAAGTATTATAATTCTTTATGCGGTACGAAGTTGGACGCTTAATATTCTGGAATACCTGGTCTTATTTTCCTTGTCCGTATAAATGTTTCTTTTGTGAAGATTTTGCTCTAGTTTCATTGGATTTTAAAATAACTAAAAAGAACCGACATGTCTTTCTCTGAGTGCTTAACTTCTCATACGTACGTCCAAAAAAGAAAGGAGTGAAGCAGGTTATAATGTGCCGGCCCTAACCCCAGACACGTGTCACAGCAAGCTCCAGTTATCATGCTTTCGTTTGCCATGCAATGCATCTCCTTAAACAAAAAAAAAGTTTCACATTTGTATTATCCGACAGATACTAGTCAAGGTTAATCTATGAGGGTCAGTCCACGATGCCTTCAGTTGAGAAAAAATATACATCAATAAATATACACCATGTGCTGGTGTACTAAATACTAAGAGAGCGTTTTAGGTTGGGATGTTTCTATTAATCAATGTGATTTTATACTCCTTTGATATGGATAATAAAGTTACAGAAATGAACATATGTGGCAAATAAATATCAAGAAAATTGCATTAGATAATCATATACAGTTGACCATAAGTTATAGACCATCAATTTCAATAGAAAACGTTTAACCACAACTGATTTTCTTTTGTGAAACTAATCCTTGTCGTCGTCCTTGCAGTGTCTCCTTTTACGTTATGATGCCGTACGCAACAATCAATACACCCAACTTTATGATATCAAGAATCAATCTGGGGTACCTTTGCCACCTAAAGCACAATGCTGAAGGTGGAAAGCTTCCGAAATGGTTTAGTATGACATACAGACAAGTAGTTACATATCTTTATTCCAGTCATTTCTCGATTAGTGCAGCATCTGAACCGAATCAGGCGTATTGGCGAGTATCCCAGGTCAGGTAGACCTCGAGAGGTAACAAATAGAGAATAGAAACTTTAGTGTGGACATGCAAGGCATACTCCATTCACCACTGCCAATAGGCTCAGAGAACAGCGAACGAACATCAATGTTTGCGTTAGCTAGAGTACCGCCAACAGACTGGACAATAGGCAACTTGGCTCTCACTGACCAATAAAACGCCCTCTTATCCTGGAATCAGGCAATGCGCACGTGATAAGCGGACATGAAATATCAGCTAGGAATCCACTGTTCGGGTGAAAACTTAGTCCGACAGACGGTAGACCAAGTAATACGGTATACCATCTGAATTACGTTCTAGGCACAACAACATATTACTGTGTGGTGATGTTTTTTCATGCTTTTTCTCTAAAGAAGCTTCGCTAGACAGTCTTTGGTGGAACGTTATATGAACAGAAGCAGGGGATTCAAAATTCCAAGTAATTGATTCAGGAATTACAGAGGTTATCTGAAAACAAGCATCTGGCCAATGGTTACAAACACACTACCAGGAAAGTGGTGGCCATACACGATATGGGCAATTTTATACCGAATAGAATTAGGTGATTAGTTAATCTTTATTATCAAGTCACAATGACATATCTGTTAACAAGAGAGAGCTAAAGTATTTTTTCTTCTTTCTCCTTGTGTCAGGGAATACATTTTTGATCATGTCTTTTCAGAATGAAGTTCTGTCAATTTCTTTTTATATCAACTGTGTATAGTTTCTTAAGTTACATAAAAACATTTCTGTACGTCGTGTGGATTTTTCATTGAATATAGCAAAGACAAATGCAAGCCAAATCTACGATTTGGGTGGTCCCTAACATCTGGCTTGGTGTTTATTTCATCCTCTCTCGCCATTTCGTTTTTTTTTTTAATCAGAGTAATATGATATCATTATTTCTGTTAATTTTCTGAAACATATAAAGGTATTACTATAAATTATTCATACCATTTTTGCTAAGTATCTATAGACAATTACATGGACAAAGTTACACTTATTTCAGACATTCTGTATTAAACTCAAATTACTGCAAATCTCCCATCATGTATGGGACAGACATGTATATTTACCCCAGTATAACTGGCTGCACCAGCTGCTGACTGCTGAGATCATTAGCATAAAAGAAGAAAGCATATTATGTGGAAAGTGCTTCAAGCGGTACCTCAAGCAAAGGCCATAGCTGTCTGAATTGTATGAACCTTCCGGTATGAACACTTCAGATGACCTGGCGAATGATGCATACACTGATTTCATGTCATCCAACCAACTACCAAAAATCTCTGTTAAGAAATTATTTTATTGTGCCAATTCATATAAAAGATGTGTCATATGTGGAAAAGAGGGCACTGGGCTATGAACTATACCCCAGCGTGCCAGGACAAACTTGATATTTTTTCCATTGTCTATGGTGTCCCCCTGATGCTCGTGTTTGCAATGAGCATGTAATTGGTGACTTTCTGAATCCTTATTTGCCACTAGATCTGCACACAAGAAATAGATCATCTGGTTATCAATAACCTTCTTGAACTAAGCCATTTCCTTTCTGCTGGTACTCCAACCAACACCGGCTTAGATGTAGACCATATCAGAAATGAAGAATTCAAGGCATGGACTGGTTACACACTTGAACAAATGCAGCAAATCCATAGCATTTGCTCCTCACACATCAATAGAGGATCATGTTCCTCTACATTCCTTGCTTTGTTTCTTTTCTGGGTTAAACTGAAGACCAATATTCCATGGTCTCAACATGGTGTCTTGTGTGGTCTGACAAAAATAACAGTATGTGTCTTACATATTTCATAGTGTCTTAAAAGCCTTGGGCCAGACCATTGTGCCCCATTTCCTTGGTCCAAGACACATTACACATTGAGAACCTGATCTTGTGGCTCAGTGAAGATGATAATGTGATTGTTGACCGAGGGTTTAGGGATGTGTTGGGGCTGCTGCGAGGTTCAGGGTTTTCTGTGTAAATGCCTTCCTATCTTCTGTTAGATCTGACACAGCAAGATACACTTACTGCCAACGATGACCGCCAGTGTGCTAAGTCAAGATGGGTCGTGGAGAGCTACCGTGGTCGACTGAAACAGTGGAAACTGTTCAGAGTACAACTCAGCTCAAACTACTTCCTTAGTGTCATAAAAGAACTGGTTAAAGTAGCTACTATATCCTTGAATGCTGTACGTGGACCAATTTATGTGTCCACACCAGGGAGGGACTTGAGGGACCGTCGCCTTTCTGAGTGAATGCAATTCCGTTTGGCTCTGCCCAACACCTTGGCCTCAAGGGTTGCAGATGAACATTACAGGCAACAAGGCCAACTGAGTGAAACTTGATGTCTGTTCAATTGCTGCTGGAGACTCTGAAGTTTGTGTCTATCAGCATAATGAAAATCTTTTCCGAGGCCCAAATCACAGTCAAAATACAATGTTTGGATTGCGTTTGACAGATATGATCAAGATGAACCTGTCAAAAAATACTACTGTGTCTGTCCTGCGGGTAAGCGAACCGTTGGAATTTGTGCACATGTTGCGTATATTTTGTATTTCTTGGGCCATGTTCAGCATCAAGATCAAACTAACCCAGTCCATGCAACACTCAGATTCAAACAAGCAATCACTTGAGAAGTTCTGCTATACTATGTAATGTGCTGCAAACTGCAACTGTTCTATCACTTATTAGCTTCTCAAAGTGCCACAAATTATGGATCGGAACTGAAAAAGACAAAACCCGTCACTATTACTGTACTTAATCTATCTAATAAGGTCACTTTGTTGACCTTCATCGAAAGATTTGTATAAAGCTGCTAACTAAATCTTCAAATTGTGAAACAAAAATGTCCTATTTTTACAAATTTCATTTGCAAAGTTAACCAAACTGACACAAATTGACATGAATAACCACTTTGTCGAATAGCAAGACCTATAGACTTTTGGTTAAGTTGTCACTATTTAACGAAAATGAAAAAAACAGTGTTTCTTGGTTTTTTAAGCAAATGTGTCAAATGACAAATTTACCGATTTTCATTTTTTCCTCCTTTTGAAAGATATCATCTGTGGCCAACTTTTAAGCAAGTATGAAAAATAGACTGGTTTCGGAAGTGTGAATATTGAAGTGTCCAAAACAGTACTTTTCTCAAAAGTAATGGCTTTTTATATGAATTTTGGCTTCATTTTTAACATAATAGAAACGCTTCTCCTGAAATAGTTGGTTGGTACAATGTGCACACATTAATGACATAATCTTATTGGAATTGCCTCATAATAATTTACTAGAAGGAATTACATAACAATTACTTTAACACCCACCAAGGTGTTAGTCAAGGAGCTCCCATTTTATAGGAAATCAATTCAAAGACTAACTTTTCCGTATTTAAGCTTCTGATACCCATATCTGTTTATGGTTATCATATTTTGAAATTCCAGGTGGGGGCTGATGCTAATGTTAAATTCCCATATATGTTGACCCACCTATCGATTATTAAAGGAAGCTTTCGATCTATGTAATGTCTTTATGACGACGTCACCAAACATTTTTTGCGGTATTTTTGCTTACTTTTGTTTTTACAAAATGACCTTTATTAGATAAAGCGATTCATTATTAACATTTCTATTCCATGTGCAGATATTATATTCTTTCACATTTACTGGAAACATCGCCTCCAACATTATTTGATTATGTATTTGATACCTGTACATGGATGTCTGTGCGGCTTTCATTCAAGAGTAACACCATAATATCTTCAGGGACGACATTCCTGATGTTTGTATGAATACTTAATTAACAATTACAACTTTAAAACATTGTAAAAGTACTACTTTACGATCAAGTTAAAAAACTTTCCTACTAACTTACCTCCCCTGATACAAAATCCACTTGTATTGCGCTCGGCATGTCGACACAAAAGTACACTCCGAACACAAGTACACAGTCGCAAAAGAGGATAGCATAACGCCATTTCCCTGCGGGATAAATAGTAAGCAATCATTAGATGGATTGGTTAAATGTCGCTTTTAAAGTTACAGGAAAAGAAAATATAAACATCTCGAGTTATATTCCTTTTATTCAATCAATGATGACAGCAAGTACATGTTCAATTCCTGACCATGGTACTTGATTGAGACGGGTATTCACTTGTATGTCTGTCGTCTAATTCCTCGGGATTGTTTGATGGTAAGTTCATCTTCTGTTGATGAACTTTACTCTCCGTTCAAAAAATCACACGTACTCCATACATGTTGACGACGTTGTTGTGATATTATTCAATCATTGAAAGCTTAACTGTGATACCAAATCAAAGGAGAAGTACACCATCCCATAAATATATTGCAGCACCTCCGAACACTCTGTCTCCGAACCGCATGGAACGGATCATTTCTTTTTTGTTATGCAATTCCCCATATGGGTATGAATTATCCATTTGTAAACGCCATGTATAATGTAGAAACTTCTTTGGAAAATCAATATTCATCATTAATTGTATGCTTCATATTTTACGGTTTCGCAACTATTTAGGACAAACACAGTATGCCAACCTTGTCCAACGATGATTAAATTAATCCACGGAACATTAATCGTGCCATTACAGAGATGGCCAAAACTGTTTATTTTACTCCAATTGTGAAACGGTATGTCAATCAGATAGCCAGCTTTAATGACATTGTTATATCTTTATCTCAGCGCAGAACTCATAACCATGGTAGCTTGGACACAATATTGAGGTGAAAAGTGTGCTCTCCTTACAAGATATCATAAGGAATAAAAAGACAAGTAAACCCGATAAAAAAGATTAGAAAGAACGTCACTTTTTACTGTTCAATAATTAATATTATTCGATAATAAATAAATCCAGAGATTTAATTAGTGTCACTAATTTTGAACAGAAGTAATGAAAGTGACATTGTTGAGATTATACTGGTAAAGCAGTTATGAAAATAGCTGGACAGATTTTGTACAAAGAAGCAGGCTCAAGATATTTACTCAGTGGTATGCTGCTATGCATTACAATACACACTGACTAAAGAGTTTTAAGCATATAGCTGAATAGGCTGGAGTTGTGTAAATCAGTGTCTCAATTTCGTTTACGTATTGAAATAGCTACTTTCTTAATCAAATAAGCAGTAGCATAAATTGAGGATTTAAACATTTTTTTTTCTTCTACCAAAATCAATCAATTTTCGTCCCAGTACACATGCAGAAGTCGTAAATCTGTCGAGAAATAATTTCAAGTGTACAAAAACTGCATAACAAAAAGAAACCAAAACATATAAAAATATATTTTACAATACTCTTTATATCAGAACTTTTCGCTGTTAACAGTATTAAGCCAGTATATGTTTTTTAACTGAAAAATGACCCAGGATTCAGTCAGTCTGGCAAAGATTATAAATTTCTGTGCACCACTTTTAATGGTATACGCTACCTACACGTATACACATCTTTCAGAGAATTACTACTGTGGCTTATAGTTCCCAAAGCCTGTTTAACCACCAAAAGGACATCATAATGGCACACCTGTACATATACCACAGCTGTTCCATCCTTTATTGAACACGTGAGTGGTATCCCTGAAAACTGTCACAGGTGCATGTTTATGATTCGAAACTGTCAGAACGTGCTGGTCAAAAGAATTGATAGCCTTGCAGTATCAAGTGAACATATTTATAGGCGGCAAATTACCACATTATGTAAATCAAGTAAACTGAACCCTGTAATACAAATCACCTGAATGAACGTTCAGTGGTTTACTATCTGCAAATTCGAAGGTTGTACTTATGACACAGAAGTGAAGAGCACCTCTTCATTAGATATATAAGTTGCATTATATAGATATTATTGATCTTGGAATCTATTGAACGTACATGACCTTTTTTCTTTAACAGCGATGTCCTATGCTAGAAGTAAAAATATACAAATATGTCAACAGAACCATAATCCAGATTCGCATTCAAGAATACTGGGGCAATATATGAACAAAGAAAATATTTACATGGAGACTCATGAAGGGATACAAGGAGAAGATCATGTGCTCCGAAAGAGCAAGCTTCTCCTGTTTTATCGACAAAACCCGCTATATAAATTTTATCCATTCAAGTAAATAATGTCACGTTTCAAGATGAGAACAAGGTAGACAACAATGGAACAAACAGTTATAATATCTTGCATAAAACACACCCTATTTCATATCACATAGGGAAATGGAATACTTCTCAATGAGAACAATATGACTTTAAAACTTCCTCATCATTTTCATCAACCTGCATCTCCGTTTTGAGTTTGTCAGTTGACGACATATTGCGCAAAATTCGTTACACAGAAAACGGACTATTGAATATCGAATCAGATACTAGTTGTAAAAGCCGTATGTTCTGGATTCAGGTATGTTGCTCTCAAGAAAGGAAAATGTACAGTAGGTAAATGGAAAACGTCACGATTATCATACAGCTTGGAGTTTAAAATCTTACTGGAATGTTACAGCACGTGACATTTTAATGCGGAGGAGACAGAGCTAATTCATAAATATCTCCCGAGTAAATTACATCAGTTAATGGGAGAATCCTGCTTTGGTGGCAAGAACGGAAACGAGCGGCCCTCTGTTCTAACTATATAAATGGACAAAAAATGGATAATTGGTGAATTATTTTCAACCTCAATCGATTTGCCATTGGGAACACCTCGGACGACAAGGAACATGTCTCCTTTTATGTCAACACAGAGAGTTAAAAATGATCATCCTGCAGTTACTGCACCATATCCCTAGTTGGTCTATTCAGGACTCCCCAGTAGTAGATATAAACTAACGATAAGGATAAATGTATTATTCTGAAACATTTACTTGATTTCTCAAAAACCTTGAAGCAAAAAATTTTTCATATGTTTTTTCATGTTAGAGATGATTCATTTGTAAAATGCCATGCCAAGAGTTAAGAACATAAACCAGTAATTTAATGTTAAAGAGATGATCTTAGTACAATAATACATTTTTACTGTTATACATAAGCAAACCAGAATTTAATCATATTTCGTACTTGTCATTCACAAGCATTGCAATTCAAAAACTCAATTTGAGCATGAAGGTCAAAGACGCCTCAGATGCTTTGGAATGTAACATGAATCGAATCAAAGCTCGGGAAAGACGCCTTAAATACAAGGAAACACCACCTGAATCACCATAAACCTCGGAAAAAAACAAAGAACGCCCCAAATTCAACGAAACACCATATAAACCACCATGAACCTCGGGTAAACGAAGGACAGCTCAAATTCAACGAAACACCATATAAACCACCATGAACCTCGGGTAAACGAAGGACACCTCATATTCAACGAAACACCATGTAAACCACCATGAACCTCGGATAAACGAAGGACACCTCAAATTCAACGATACACCATGTAAACCACCATGAACCTCGGATAAACGAAGGACACCTCAAATTCAACGATACACCATATGAATCACTATGAACTTCGGATAAACGAAGGACACCTCAAATTCAACGAAACACCACATGAATCACCGTGAACCTTGGAGAAACGAAGGACACCTCAAATTCAACGAAACACCATATAAACCACCATGAACCTCGGATAAACGAAGGACACCTCAAATTCAACGATACACCATATAAACCACCATGAACCTCGGATAAACGAAGGACACCTCAAATTCAACGATACACCATGTAAACCACCATGAACTTCGGATAAACGAAGGACACCTCAAATTCAACGAAACACCACATGAATCACCATGAACCTCGGATAAACGAAGGACACGTCAAATTAAACGATACACCATGTAAACCACCATGAACCTCGGATAAACGAAGGACACCTCAAATTCAACGATACACCATATAAACCACCATGAACCTCGGATAAACGAAGGACACCTCAAATTCAACGATACACCATATAAACCACCATGAACCTCGGATAAACGAAGGACACCTCAAATTCAACGATACACCATGTAAACCACCATGAACCTCGGATAAACGAAGGACACCTCAAATTCAACGATACACCATATAAACCACCATGAACCTCGGATAAACGAAGGACACCTCAAATTCAACGATACACCATGTAAACCACCATGAACCTCGGATAAACGAAGGACACCTCAAATTCAACGATACACCATGTAAACCACCATGAACCTCGGATAAACGAAGGACACCTCAAATTCAACGAAACACCATATAAACCACCATGAACCATGAACCTCGGATAAACGAAGGACACCTCAAATTCAACCATATAAACCACCATGAACCTCGGATAAACGAAGGACACCTCAAATTCAACGAAACACCATATGAATCACCATGAACCTTGGAGAAACGAAGGACACCTCAAATTCAACGAAACACCATATAAACCACCATGAACCTCGGATAAACGAAGGACACCTCAAATTCAACGAAACACCACATGAATCACCATGAACCTTGGAGAAACGAAGGACACCTCAAATTCAACGAAACACCATATGAATCACTATGAACTTCGGATAAACGAAGGACACCTCAAATTCAACGAAACACCACATGAATCACCATGAACCTTGGAGAAACGAAGGACACCTCAAATTCAACGAAACACCACATAAACCACCATGAACCTCGGATAAACGAAGGACACCTCAAATTCAACGAAACACCATATAAACCACCATGAACCTTGGAGAAACGAAGGACGCCTCCAACTCAACGATACACCATATAAACCACCATGAACCTTGGAGAAACGAAGGACGCCTCCAACTCAACGATACACCATATAAACCACCATGAACCTCGGAGAAACGAAGGACGCCACAGAATCAACGGAATGCATCGTAACATCAACCACTTTCATTCTCGTTTTGTTCCTTGAGTATATGTATAATTCGTAATGAAATTATTGCGGTAAAGTTTCTTTAGTGTTCAATCGACATTTACGATAAACATTGAATATAGAAGTTTTCTTTTTTCTCTTTTTTTTCTCTCTCTCTCTCTCTCTCTCTCTCTCTCTCTCTCTCTCTCTCTCTCTCTCTCTCTCTCTCTCTCTCTCTCTCTCTCTCTTGAAAACTTTTTTAATGACTTTGAGGTTAGTGAATCGACTTCTTCCAGCTCAACAATCAATGTTGTAGCTGAGAAATATTGTATTAAATATGTTTTATATAGCAAATCCCCGTAAATGTAACTCATAAAAATGACCATATGGCTGGATTTTCCTTGAAATTTGGTAAAATAAGAGCCATGAATTATGCAGTGGAGCATCCTTCTGATGACGTTTCTATCACTTATATATAAATTTCACTTACAAAATGTAATTTGTCTAACAAAAACAATCAATTTATACTTACATTCGTGCGGTTTCATACTTCCTTTTATGTATTACCTGTGAAAATAGGAAAATACCTGTAGTGTTTCAAAAATGAAAAGTCATCCGTAAACACCGTTTCATTAGATATTCGTAACACGTCCCTAGAATTATCTATATCTTCCCATTGTGGAGGTATTGTCTATGTGTAACGTATATTTCCTATAGGAAATCAACATCCGTTTCTCTTATTGCAGGCATGAAAGCCTATACACAACATGTCGCTTTGCGTGTATGCTATTATATCCTGAAGGTGATCATTATGATGTATATCTATTAACTGCTGCAAACCAACACTCGCACACTGCAGTTTAAATGTACTAGAGAGAACGGTGATGACATGTAATTCAATATCTAATTTTGTGAAATATAAACACAGTAGATTGAGAATTAAGTGATTGCAATTTTTTAATATGTTGAAAAAATGAGATATCTTTAAAAATGAAGTATTATGTGGGAGCCCATTATCCTCTGATTTGCTACATTCAAATCCGTACTGAAGTAATAGTATCAAGTTAACAAAAGAAGAATGTTTTGAAACAAAAAATAAAATTAATCTTTGATAATTACGATTATGTAATATTGAAATGAATATGCAGTTTTATTGACAATAGCTTGAATTGTATAGTTATGATGTTAATGATTTAACGATATATCTTTGTATTGTATTTATTTTATCAAGCTGTTTAAAGTGCATCTAATTTACCACACAATCTGCCTGTTATCTATCTCACCAAGGCAGTGAAAATTTCCAAGAAGCGTTTGATAAAATCTTATATGAAATGAGATGAGAACTATATACCTATATACATATATAGTGTTACTTGTAAGTCGATTCGACCATACCTGCTGTTGTACCTTAGATTAAATAACTCTTTATATTTATTCAGCTTCAGTGTAATCGAATCAGCCCGTTTTTTTCTTTGTACAAAAATACTGAAATACGAATACATTGCCATAAAATATAAATGTGCATAATTTGAATTCTTGAGATAATGACATATTTCAGAAGAATTGTTTATTTTCAGTATTTTAAATTTTTTTACATGTGTATGTGTCATAAAAGTTTTTTGTCAAGTTTGTTAATTCTACTCTGCAATCTTAAATTCATATAGTCTATTTTTGTTTTTTCTTTTTTTTTCTAGTTTTTGTTTTTGGAATTTTTTTTTCTTCAATTTTTTAAAACCAAGGTTGCGAACTGAACTTAAACATGAACTTGTAAACTTTAAATCTATTTCAACATCTTTGACGTCCATGACGTTAAACGTCTTTTGTCCAAATAATAAGACACTTTTAGCTCCATATTAAGAGAGGTGTCGCCTGTAACCATATGCTCCCTAAATAGAAACAGTTCCGGCACATATATTTAGGCTAATAACTTCTTAATTAACCATGGATGCTTTTAATGACGGTAAATTCTTCACATCCATAGAGTCACGTCTCCTTTTTGACGTATATAGAAAACAGCTAAGACAACTCAGAAAATACAGGCAAGATATGACCATAAAAAGCTTTCGTACAGCGGACAAGCTTAGAAATTTATAGAATGCAGATGGTGATTCCTGGGAACATTTTGATGTAATTCTAAGCCGAATCTATGACCATATTCAAGACAATAAACACTGCACTAATCAGCTCTAGCTCTCTCCTCTTTCTCACATCAATCAGAAAGCAAGCACTAGACAATGGCCTTTTCATTCGCTGTACTACAAATGATTGGAACAATGTCCGTTATTAGTTTTAACCTATTCCTCATTTTTGCCATTTGGAAACATTCAAATCATCATTACTCGTCATCTAAGCATATTTTGACAATCCTGTATAATGAATCAAAATGGAGATAAGACAAGAAAACGTTTTAACGCTTTTTGAAGCCATTCATACAAGTAAAAACGTGCGACTTCTGCCGTGGATAGAGTAATGCAAATAAGCTAGCAGTAACAATGGCAAAACTAGGCCTCTGTCACAAACTCTCCCTACTGTTGTTCTGGTCTGTTTCGTTTCTGCATTTTTTCAGGTATATACTATGTCTTACGTCTCTGCCTTAGACACCTCTTTAAAAGCCCCTGCTGTTTTAAATACAAAAGAATTTTGTGAACTACATATACATTGCAACTGTCTGTGAGAATAAAAGACTCAATTACCTAGAACGCTGTCTGTAACGATACATACACCAACAGATAATACAGGTAATAGGTCTGTATTGTGCCTACCATTATACAGTCAGCTATCTGTCGTCGAAAGTTAACAAAACAAAACAATGATGGAAAAAAACCGCTTTGCCCTATTTTTTGACAACTGTCTGGAAACGAAAATTTAAAAGAATCTTGAATTAATACGATATCTTTAAAGTTTGTTATAAATTTGACTATGTATGAATTTATCTAGCGCTTGATTACGCTAAACGGGAATATGAATTATCTATTTATCTGGAAAGGAGTGTATATCTTAAAGAGCATTAAACGGGTTCTTTTTATTGTTTGATATGTTGACCCAGACTGTCAAAAAAAATTAGCAATATTATCAAACGAAATGTTATTACGTAGTTAAATAGGCAAATATCCCATTGGTAAAAATATTGTCGCCATACTGGCCTAACAAGTGTTTGTGACCTGGCTGGATGTTAAGATTCCTCCTCTGCAACCATTTACATGTTATTGTGACTGTACTATATATAGGACAATCGATATTAACACTACCGATATCCGATACACAAATTTATTGTGTGATGATTATACCATTAAAACAGTGCTTTCATCATCGTTGACATTTCACCAATGAAAGGAGAGCTCTTTTACGACATTCTGTTTCATTAAATATTTAAATCTCAGATTTTACGAGCACTAACACTATCATGTATCACGGAATTATATTGTTATATATCACAAAGTATAGAATACGATATATGTACATATAGTATTATCTACGATAAAAAAATACATCTGTGATGAGTTTTCGTTTCATTTCCAGTAAGATTTTCAGCAAGATTTACCCGTGATTGGAGACGGGTAGTAAACTAGAATTTACTGTCATCATATTGACACACAAAAGCTTCAAGTAAGCAAGCGTTTTTGTAAGGTCTAAAAAGAATTTTAACTATGTTTGCTGTGAAAGTTGACATAGAAGGCCAAAAACAGTAGTGGTGGTGGAGTTTACAAACCAAGGTTATGTAAATAGCAGACCATGTCCTGCTCAAATGTTTAAGCTCAAAACGGATGGAAGAACTTTATTCAAAAGTTGACCATCTTGATGTTCTTAAATTGCTTATACAGTGTGTTGAAATAAATCTATATGGAGTTTAAACTTAAACCAACCAATCCAGTCAGCTGTCAAGGAATAGAAATAATGCTGCAGTTTTTGGGATATTCATAATTTGTTTACTAGCGCTTCTTTTATATAAAACAACATTAATATATTTCCGATATATTACAAAAGAAGTGATTAAATAAATGTCAAGACATACTGTAAAGACGAACTTGAATCATTTGACATAATTATCAATTGTTTTATATATAAGAGCTTTAACATAAATCAGTATTTAAATCTGGAAAATAAATATCAAAATGTTTCTACTTACCATTAGGCGGGGATTGATGTATTCATCGACTTCACAACACTGAATTTAATCCACCTAAACGTAAAATAATACTACCTGGTTAAAACTCATCAATACTGATGCTAAAGTACCAGTTGGTGTCGTTTCATCTAAAGCCAGTCCTCGTATAATCAACGGTAACGCTCTACAGAGCTGAGCACTGTCTTCGGTGTAGCTCTCAATACGCTGACTTCACAAACAGAAATACGTTGATGGGTTGAATATACCTCGTATAGGTCGGGAGGGTATAGGTGGTAGCATTCTAAGCTAAAAATAGATTTTCGAAAAAGAAACACATAGTGAAATTTCGTGTAAATTGAGTGAAATTTTACATTCTGCTACGGAGTTATAGTCTATATCGAAGTCCGTGGTTCGACAAAAATATATGTAATAGAAAGCCATTTGGGCGACAAACGATAATACTTTACTACACCGTGCAACATTAAAGATGACAGCTTCATTTTACAGCTTGACGGGATCTGCATATTTTCTTTCTATTTTTTATTTTTGCAATGTTTTGAGTTTTATTTTAAATGTTCTGTCTTAACATCATTATTTTTTATCAATATATTTATTTATCTGTTTAATTTCATGAAATATTGCCTTAAAGTATATGTTTGATTAAGGTTATCAAACTAACCGGGCATTTTTCGTAATCCTGATGTTGTTATTATTGCACCAGTCATGCGGGTCTGTAACACTTGTACGAGGGTATATATTGATGTAGCATAATTACTGTACATATCATTATGTATCTGCATCTCTTAGTATTTTATATTATGCGCCTACAACATATATAATTAATTCAAATGTCAGCTGTATGTGTTTCCATGCTCACGTACTTGCACACACACATTTCTAACCTGATCAATACCCTTAAGACCTAGTCACAAGTCTGACAATTAGCCGTCCGTGCCTTTATTGCTCTATCTAGCATACACATATATCCATTAAGGGTAAATGAGGGCCAGACTAGAATCTATAGTTAGTCTTGCATTAATATATATATATAAATTTTTTTTGATGTTTTGTGATTTACATATTCAATACATGTATCCATGCCATCAGTAGTTAGTTTCGTATGATGATAGAATGTTAAAATTGTTATAAATGGGATTTTTCATTCAGTATTCGTGCTAATTGCACTGAAGATATATAAACCTTGGAATTCATTGACATTTAAGGGCGTATGGCATGGTTCGACATTCTGCACTCCGTTTCCAGAAGACTTTCACACTTCGTAATTCTATACGTTTGGGAATGCGAGACTGGAGTTGTTATTCCATGAAACATTAGAGACGTCTGCAACAAAGCCAATTATTTCTGTTGCTTCAAATGGTTTTACACTATGATTTGCATATCGAATATTAGTTCCGTCAAAACAAGGACGGTAAGTGTTTGACG